GCTCGTCTGCTGTTTGTTTCATGCAGATATTTTTTATGTTTAGTTTCACAAAACTGAAGTCAAACCATTGTTTTTGCTTCAAATTTCGAAATTATACAATCTAATTTAGATTAAAAACTGCTCATGTTGCATGTATGCAGCATCTTTGTTTGGATCATGATTAAAATGCAGTGGTTGCCTCTAATTTTAAATGGAAAGAGCACAGACAAAGCCTTAGTTTGTTTATATGAAGAGATTTTTTTATTTGTGTTATTTATTTGATTTGGGGCTTGTTTTAAAATTTCAATTTAGTTTATTTACATTTACATTATATTTAAATTTTGTTTTAGCATACACTTTTATCCAAAGCGACTTACAAATGAGGACAATAGAAGCAATCAAAACCAACAAAAGAGCAATAATAATGCAAGTGCTATATTAGTATATTATTATAGTGTTATATTTCAACTTCACAAATAAATGTGCAGCATTTTGTCCAAGCAATAATAAAAGGACACAATTAATTTATAATTTGTCTTCAATCTCATTTTGTAAAAAAATTAAAAAACCGTGAATCGAATCGAATCGTGAAATCAAAACCGTGAATCGAATCGAATCGTGAGTTGAGTGAATCGTTACATCCCTAGTTCTGATGAAGAAACAAACTCATCTTCATCTTGGGTGACCTGAGGGTGAGTACTTTTTCATTTTTGGTGAACTATCCCTTTAAGAAACCCAGCTTTGAGAGGTGTTAATGAAGAGTGTGGCCTCCAGCGCCCCGGTTTGTCTGGATGTGTCTCATTAAGCCCAGTGTCACTGCGAGACGGCGGCTCCTCGAAATGGAAATCGATTACTGTGGCCGTTGGATCAACAATCCAATCGTTGCTTACAGGGTCATAGTTGTAGTCGATTCTCAGTTCTTTCTGAAACAATGTGCAGTTATTGCTTGATGAATGCTTCAACATGTGGTTGAACGGCTCTGAGGTCAGTCTATCGATCAGAGACTGACTGTTCAAAAATGGAGGCACATTATTGAGTGTAATTGCTTTGCTTGAGACCTGAGGACTGTTTCTCACTCAATGCAAGTTCAGCATCTGTGGCATGATGCGATTATCACAGAAAATCATTTTGACTCATTTTGGGGGTTTTTTTTAAGGCAAAATTTGTGGTTACAGTGAAGTAGTATAGACAATATAAGTCAATGGAGCAACACTTCCATTGTAAAAGCAGAAATCTGGAAGCTTGTGTTTGTTTGTTTGTTTGTTGTTGTATTAATGTTTATAAAATCTTATAATATACTGTATATTATTGTTTACATTTTGCAACAATACAAGCAATCAGGCAGTTGTATCCAAGTATATCCAACTTTAAAAGCAGTAGTGAATTATTCAGTGACAACCTGTTTATTATTGGAGCTGTAAACTTGTAAATTATCTTTATGAAGTCGGACAGTTTTCTAGGTTGATGTTCTATCAATTATTGGTGTAATTCTTCAAGTTTGCACTGTCTTGCATTAAAGTGCCCGGCAATAGCTATGTGCTTTTGATGTTAAAATTACAAGATTGGATAAAACTTTACACATTTTCATTGATTAACTCACACTAGTCTCATGTTAACATGTATAAAATCTTATATCTACTTTTGAAACTGTGTATTTTCTCAGGATGCATGATATATCCAAATGATATTGGTTATCAGCTAATATGAAATATTATATATATATATATATTTTACATATATTGCCCAATATTTAACTGTGCATGTTAATTTCTCCTACTTTTATATTTAGATTACTTTCTAGAGCCCGACCGATATGGGTTTTTTGGGGCCGATACCGATACCGATATTAGGGAGTAAAAAAAGGCCGATATCGATATATCGGCCGATATTCTTTGTGTATATTATAGTACAGTACCAGTCAAAAGTTTGGACACTTTCACATTCGTGTGTCCAAACATTTGACTGGTACTATATATA